GGCCTCCAACCATCCCAAATCAACAAGTTTTCAACTGCCAAATTTAAGTATGTGTTTGTATATGGTGATTTCTGACGTCTCAGTATGTAACACCATCACTCAATAGGGATGGAGATACATCCAGTTTGAGAGTCCTAAATAGGACAAACGTTCGGTATGGATACAAACGCCAGTTATCATTAACCAAGTGGCAAAATGTTGAACTCATTGACGTTGTTAAAGTATCTGTACTTGTGAATAGACATGACAGCGCTAGCCAAGTACTTCAGTCCAACGAAATCAGGTAAAGGAAAAGTAAAGCAATTTCAGCAAATAAAGTCTTCATTAAAGTTTACAGCAAAGTCTAACTGTAAAACCTCAGACCACCTTGGATCCACCAACTGAGTTAAGAAGATGACTTTGGGTGAAATGAGGGAGTTTGCGTTAACTTAGGGAAAAGATTTTTCCCATTAAGTACTTAACATAAACTCCTAACCAATAAATCTTAGATAACCTGTGAAAATGAAAGAGTACTGAACAATTAATTCATCCTTCTTTGGGAATTATTAGCCGCACACACCCGTGATGAAAATAGAGATCGAATTTGAGGACCCTTAGATTACAAGTTCCAAGATTTCAAGGTTGATCACAAACTGACTTCAGTTAGAAAACCACTGAAAGCTATGGATGACTAGACATATATTTTATCCTTGTTTGTGATGTTACATCAGTACGTACCCGTAACTCTCACAAGAGTCGATTCTAGGAGAATCAGGTGACAAGTCGACGCCGTTGACTTTTGAGTCAGTGGGACCCAGTCTATTGGCCTATCACTTCTAGCTCCTGACGATTTGGGGTATATAGAGTGGCAGCCAGAGAATCTTATCAGTGAATATCTGTCCACACACCCAGCTTGATGGAGCTAATTGCTCAAGACTTTTCACTGTACCCTGAGGCAACTTCATCCTGTGATCAGTAACTAAGGAACACTAGGTTTGTTTGCATGGATTTGATTGATCTGAGGCTTGAACATGAACGTTTCCAGTGACTGAGACGTCAACAAGTTCATCTTGTAACTTGAAGGTCCTGAGTACGATCTCTAGTGGAGTTATGAAGTTTTCAGTGGTTCTTTAAATGAAATCAGTCTGTGATAGAATTTGAAATCAATAATATCGATGTGAATGGACACTTCAAAGGAACCTTAATCTTTCCTCAACATAAGGCTAACCTAAACCACAGTCTAACTCTTGAAAATATATGACTAACACCTGAATAAAATAATGATGCTCTAAAGAAAATGGTAGGTTTCCTCTTGAAACATCCTAAAAACAGAGCATTCTGTTCAATATTTCAAGATTTATTTAAGCTCTTTTTTTTCAAATGAATGTTGCTTGTTTCATTTTCCATACGGAGAAATGCGAACAACAACAAAATTATATGTCTGGTTTCCCACAAACTGGAAGATATGCAAGCGAAAAGCAACAAGTTGGCAAAGGAAGCATCCAGAGAAGATAGGCCTTCAGGTGAACATAGAGAAAACAGAGGTGATGAAGATTCCTGGCCAACACCACCACCAACAACAACAACAGACTAAAATCATCATAAATGGAGGGAACCTGAAAGAAACAATCTCTTTTACCTACCTGGGAAGCATCGTCCCAACTACAGGCAGAGCTGACGAGGATATCAAAGCAAGAATCAGAAAAGCAAGACAAGCTTTCACTACTCTCAAGTCTGTGTGGAGGTTAACAGCACTCAGCATGAAAAATAAGATCCGGATTTTCAACTCCAATGTGAAGTCAGTGCTACTCAATATACGGATCAGAGACTTGGCGCGTCATGAAGAGCACCTCAAACAAACTACAGACCTTCATTAACAGCCAGTTGTCTTCGCTCAATACTCAAGATCAGATGGCCAGAAAAGATCAGCAACATGGAGGGATCTCTGGGAGCGAACCAACCGAGCAGGAACCGATTGTGAAACAAATAAGCAGGAAGAAATGGAGATGGATTGGATTGGCCATACTATGAGGAAACCATCAAGTGACATCACTAAACAAGCCATGACTTGAGTGGAACCTGGCCGAAAGGGAAGCGGCGAGTTGGTCGTCAGTGCAAGGGTGACTTGGAGGAGGTCATGTGAAGAGGAGATGAAAGCGTGTGGGCAGACTTGGAGCTGGATGAAGACTCTATCAGAGAACCGAACGCAATTGAGACGCACGGCTGGAGCCCTTTGTTCCTCTAGAAGTTAAAGGAAACAATAGTAATAATATAATAAGGAGAAAAGTATACAGAAGGCGAAGAAACAAGATCTATTACTTTACATTAAGTTTTGTAGTGTTCATTGATTACCAATAACTCGATTGTGCAAAGTGAAAAATACAAACTCCATTTCAAGATAAGCATAGCTACCTATCTGCCTACCTATTCATCTATCTTTGTTTATGCAGGTAATATATGGTCATCATTGTGTTTGAATGACTTAATTGTATGATAAATCAATAATATAAAAATGTAGAGAAACGTAACATATTACGTAATTCATAATACAACCATGTTTTTGTCAATCTTACGAGTGGTTTGTAAATGAGAATTTATTAAGTAGTACTGAGATAATTGATGTCTTCGTTTTCACAGTGAATTCGTGTCATTTATCATCTAAATAACCGGTAGATAGATATCTACGATGTACGATTGATTATGTTTAAAATTATTAAGTGTAACTCACATCATTAGTAGAATAGTAAGTGATTCGTAAATTTCAATTAGAAATATTACTGTATTATAGGATATACATCTTACAAGATAGTTTGTGGAACTTATAATTATGGATTATTATGGCTCTCCTGGGGCTTCAGCCACACATCTCCAGCCTTATTTTATCCTCTGCTGTCCTCTTTGCCTGGCTGCAAGACTATCCACAGTCTCTCATCTCCTCCGAACACGACCTGTTTCATCTCACTCTCAAACACAAGCTTAACTCGTCATTTAACATTCGGATTCCAATTGAGCGATGGCCTGCATTGCGCGTGATGTAATTCGACTTCTCCTCAGCATATGTTTGATCTATCTGCATTTTCTTTGAAATACTGGCTGAGTAGTAGGTTCTCGATTAGTTCGTTTCCAAAGTTTCATAGCGATAATTCTATCTGATACTCAGTATGGGCCCAGCTGTTGATTAAAGTATGCAACAGGTTGTTAGGAAGGCTTCTCTTGGCACGCTTGCCAAGTTTCTGATCCACATAGAAGAGCTAACTTTACATTTGTGTTCAAAATCTGGATTTCGTTCTTCATGTTGAGGAGTGAAGAAGATTTCCAAATTGATTTCAGAGTGTTGAGGGTCTGTCTTGCCTTTCCAATCCCCACTGGTTTTGACATCCTCACCGCCCCATACTCTGTAGTTGAAACGATGCTGCCTAGATAAGTGAAGGGAGTAACCTCCTTCAAATGTATTTTGTTGATAGTCACTTGCGTTGGTTGTTGTAATTTTATTGTCATTTCCATCTTCTCTATGTTCACTTGGAATCTTGATTTCGCCGCTCCTTCAGCTAGTGTGTCGGTTTCTACTTGTAAGTTTTCGACTTTGTGGAACACTAGAGATAAATCATCCGTGAGACCCAGATCTTTCAGAGTCTTCTTATCGGTCCGACGTATTCCCTTCTTCTTACGAAATGAAACCTGTTACAAAGGTAAGAAGTGTTTGTAGGTTCCACATTTGTCTGATTTCATTAGTATGGGAAATCAGTACTAACAGACCAGAAGGTTCTGGGACTATCTTTCGATGACTGAAGTAATGGTTGGCATGGATTTAAATCTCTGTCAAGATAAAATCCTCCTTATCTGGTGAATAATGTTGTGCTTCGTACTATTCGGGGCTCATCGTCTGGATGTACCTGCATTCGTGATAAGCAGCTGCGTCCAAATTCTCAGTATGAAACATCATCAGCGAACCGCCCGAATAAAATCAATCAATGGGGAATTCACACGACAGTTTCCATAAATAAAGATTTTTTTGAATTATTAAATTAAGCCTTCCAGTGGAGTTCCAGGAAGTAGATAAAGTGTATCGCGAATCTAATATCATTCATATTTGCACACTAAGAAATACCATTTCAAATAACACATTAGTGGAGTATTCTTCAACGAGGTAATCACATCCTAAATCTTTTTTAATTGTGTTCTGTCACAACTCAAACTTAAATCGTCGTTTCTCCTCCACTCAGAGTATGAACATTTCATCTACAATTTGTCCTCCTGATAGATTCTCGATTTGTTACGCGCTAGAGTTTTCTGTTGCCTATCTTTTCCCGCTACCATCTGATCTCAAATATGCCCTTTTCATGCGTTTATTAGCCTATCCTAAGCTCAGAAAAGAGGAAAGATTTGGCATGGGGCTATAGACACAGTGACACTCTAATAAGGGGGTGGGGGTTTTACTCTCAACATCTTAACGAAAAGCAACCCTTTAAGTATTTCTATATTTTTCTGGACTCTTCTTTTACTAATTTACTGTGATTTGTTCATTCACAATCACCGGCGAACTTGTTCGGTTCAATTCCTATAGTCTAACTTTGCTAAGTTTATAAATGCTCCTTCATAATTCTAATTTCGTCCTAGTGAAGACTCGTCATCTGCATGTGCCTCCATTCTCAGTAAGAGATGATGTTCCCTCTGAGCGTCAAACTCTAAATCCGACAAAACAAATACAAATTTCATTTCCTCTGAACTGAATATGCCTGGTCCCATAATCCAGTGGTGTTTTCAGGCGACGAGTACCAAATAGAACAAAGTGAGCATCCTTCCTAAGTCATCATCAGCCAAACGAACTACACAGTAATCCTCAGAAATCATAGAAGCATCTATATTGGCAGTTGACATGTCGGCAAAGACCAAGCATTTCGGTTCAACGTAATCAATTAAAGGGAAATGCACCTCCAAACCCTCATTTTAGCACACTATTTTATTAACCTCCTCAGTTATATGCATACTATAATCTTAGCAATTTTTTTTCATTTCAACAGGTTGTCATACGAAAACATGCAACCCGCCGGTTGTATGAAACCCGTGAACGTCAATATGCCTATTATATGCATGGGAAGAAATCAACCACTTCACATGGCTCAATCAATAGAACATCAAATCAAACTGGTAATTAAATATATTTAAATAAAATTCTAGTTTAATTTAATTTTTTTTTAAAAAAAAAAGGTTTTTCACAAGAAGACAATGCTGCAGTGAAATTTGAAATACCACAGATTGTAACTCCACAAAGTTCAATAACAGAAATACTTCATGACAAGGATAATAATTCAACAATTCAAATGGTGTCAACCTACTCTTCAGAGATGACTCCAAAGAATTCTATTGATATGTAAGTTTGATTATGTCTGTATTATTATTATTATTGTTATTATTGTTCCCTTGGGTTCCTAGTGCAACATAGGGCTTCAACTGAACGTCTCCACTTGTTTCTGTCTTCTGCTCTACTTTTCACCTGCATCTATGTGAGTTCATACTGTTTCAGCTCTTCTTCACACGATCTCCTCCATGTCATCCTTCGACGTCTCACTCGACGCTACCCTTTCGGGTTCCACTCGAGCATTGGCCTGACGCGCGGTCACCCAGCGGCCTCCTCAGCGAGTGTCCGATCCATCTCCATTCTATCCTGCATATTTTTTGAGCGATTGGTTCTTGTTTTGTTTGTTACCATAGTTTCTTGTTGGTGATTCTTCCCGGCCATCTGATCGTCAGTGTATAGAGCGAAGACAGTTCTTGATAAAGGTCTGATTATGTTTGTAAAATAATCTAATAAGCAACTGAGATATTGATATCAGTATAAAACTTGTGCACTGTGGTGGTAGAGTATAACTTTGTTTTCCTTCACGTTCCTAAGTGGAACATAGGGCTTCAAGCTAGTGGCTTGAAGTTTCTTTGGCAGTGTGTATTTTACAGGATGGGGTTGCTAGCCTCATGCCCAACCTTTCCTCTTCACCAGCATTATTTCTGGCTTAGCGAGGTTAAGGAGTGCGCCGGTCGAGGATCAAACCCCGGACCATGCGCATGGTCAGCGAGCGTCCTAAGCGCTATGCCACCGACGCATAGTATAACTTCATTATGGATAAGATTTTATTTTGATACAATCACACAATGTGTTATACAGTAATATTAACTGATAACCACATTTCAAACACAATTTCTCATTGCCACTCATAATCATATCAAGTCAATCATTCACACAACTTTCTTGCTTCATTTATATACATGAGTAAAAATTGATGATTAGACATTTTCAAAAGAATGGATAGAGAACAAAGAATACTCTTTTCGATAACTTCATCACCAGGCTCTACAGTAATATATATATATTATAGTCAATAAAAAATAGCAAAATACTAAGCCGCATCATCCTGGAGAGAATCAAACATGCCCTGGATGAAAAACTTCGACCGGAACAGGCTGGATTCAGGAGAAACAAGTCATGCATTGATCAGATCGCCAAATTACAGATCATCATTGAACAAAAATCGGAATGGCACTTTTCCTCTCTATCTCAACTTCATCGACTTTGAAAAGGCCTACGACAGCGTCGATCGAGAGGTGATTTGGTAACTACTTCACTACTACGGTGGGCAGTAGATTGAATAATGCGACAAACAGCGGGCAATGAGAAAACAGGCATAAAATGGACTCACACAAAAAACTTGGAGGATCTTGACTTCGCCGATGATATATGTCTGATTTCCCACAAACTGGAAGATATGCAAGCGAAAAGCAACAAGTCGGCAGAAGAAGCATCAAAGATAGGACTTCAGGTGAACATAGATAAAACAGAGGTGATGAAAATTCCTGGACAACACCACCAATAGCAACAACAACAACTGACAACAATCAGCATAAATGGGAGGAACCTGAAAGAAACAACCTCCTTTACCTACCTGGGAAGCATCGTTTCAACTACACGCGGGTGGAACTGACGAGGATATCAAAGCAAGAATCCGAAAAGCAAGACAAGCTTTCACTACTCTCAAGCCTGAGGGGATGTCAACAGCACTCAGCATCAAAAATATTATCCGGATTTTCAACTCCAATTTGAAGTCAATGCTACTATACGGATCAGAGACCTGGCGCGTCATAAAGAGCATCTCAAACAAACTACAGACCTTCATCAATAGTTGTCTTCACTCAATACTCAAGATCAGTTGGCCGGCCAGGAAAGATCAGCAACAGGGAGGGATCTCTGGGAGCGAACCAACCAAGAACTGATTGTGAAACAAATAGGCAGGAAGAAAGGAATATGGATTGGCTATTCTCTTGACAAGCCCTCGAGTGGAACCCGATTGAGAAGTGGCTAGTTGGTCGTGCAAGTGTGACTTTGAGGAGGTCATGTGAAGCGGAGATGAAGGCATTTGGGCAGACTTAGAGCCAGGCGAAGACTCTAGCAGAGAAGGGAACGCAATGGAGACGCACGGCTGAAGCCCTATGTTCCTGTAGGAATTAAAGGAAACAATGATAATAATAATATAGTAAATGAATGAATTAGTGTTATGAACAACATTAATGTTGTTTAAATAACATCGAATCGGTTATTTCAATAGATTACAGTTCAATAGCATCAGCATAACAATAAACACTGAATGTCAGAAAAATTAAGAAAGTTAATATTAAAAATTCATATATTTAGAGTCTTTACTGAAAGCCAGGGCAGTAGTAGGGACTGGAGTTGCATCTTTTGAACACAGAGCACTGATTGTTTGAGGCGAATTGTAATAGTCTCTGCTGTTTGGAGCATGTGGTGCTTCGATGATTTTGGCAATTTATTAGGCACCCGGTGGATTATAGAGAAGGATTCTACCACGCTGGCTTTGTGGCCCGTTTGCACCAGATTATCTAATATCAAACTGTTAATGGTTTTCACTATACCTTTACTTAGCCATAGTGGGAGATGTTTTTGGGCACGAGAAATCAAGTTCCTAGAGCAACGGCCGATTTAATTTGCTCCACCATAAGCACAGTTGAATTGGTATATACAATTAAAAGAAGTGGTTAGTCCAGGTACTTCATCTTTCAGTCGAGGAATCACCATCGGTCTTGTAGAGAATAAGACATTTAGTTCTCCAGCATTTAAAGGTCTTTGAACTGATAAACAACATTCGGAAATAATAATATTAGTGTTATCAACAAAATACAATAAGTGGCAATTAAGATGTTTTCATAGTGAAATAAATAAATAACTTGTTAGAATGTGAATTGAACAGTTAAACATTATTTATTATCCTCTGACTTGACTGGTGGTCATATAATCTTCCATATCTCTGGTAATTGCGTGGAGTAACTACTATCGCAAGTGTTGTGTTGGTTGTGTAGACTCGATGAACCAAGCAGGATTCAGTAATCAACATGTGTCTCTCTCCACCTACCTATATTACTTTCTGGTTGGTTAGTTAACAGAGTTCTGGGCCGCTAATCTTTTCAAGCCATCTTATCTTACCTCACTCAGTTTACAAGTTCAATAGTTTACTAACTGAACCTAAGACAAGAAAAAGAGGCATGGTTGGGCGTGGCGCTAGGGGATCCTTCTGATTGCTTACAGTTACAAAAAATATCCAAGTCGTCTGAGCCATAGAAGGTAAAGTTAAACTTTAAGCGCTAGTAACCACCAATCGGTGAATGACCTTTAACGCACCCATCACATAAAAGAGGCTAATTTGGCTATAAAATACATTTGTTTATGAAAAAATGCATAAAAGCTGTATGCAAGTGTTACAACAGGATACCTTTCTTTGACGTGTGACAAAAATGACTCCCAGTTTTCTGTAGGAGTGTCAGTAGAGAAGTTACACCATATCCTATACATGCATTCATCTTACTAACTGTAAAAAAACATTATTTTGTGATCCATTAATGTCTCTTATCCTGTTTTTCAACCTTCCCTAAAATCCGTCGATGGAACTGGTGTGGGTCCCTGTAAAAGGATCCACAAAATCATTTGGATGGTTGATTCTTCGATGAGTATATACTGTGGATGTGTATTGTAGATCGTCGTTTCACCAGTCAACTGATAATGGGTATTTAAGTAGTTGGTTTCCCATCTGTTGTTCTGCCGACCAATCTTCCTTGTGGTAAGGTATCGTATAATCCTATCCCCCAAATATTATTTGCTCGTTCACGACCACAGTTATATTTCCTCTTTAACATGACTGTTTCATCTAAATATGCATTGATAACTTCTCCTCTTAATAAAGAAGTGTGCCTCACCAATTTCCAAGGTGCGATGTCTACGTAGTACTGGTACCACTTAACTGTTCAAATGAGACAATTTTCTGTTTCAAAAGCTGCAGCTCTCATAGCCTGTTTTAAATCCCAGTAATTACAAATACATAAATATCTGGGTTAATGACAGATGGATTCCAGTAAACAAAATATTCTTAGGAAATAATGTAATCATCAGCTTACCTTCCTTCACACTAAATCATTTTGAACAAATTCCACAATGATGTGCATGTCCATCAACCAACCTACTGAAGCTTTGTATACTCATGACACTTCCACATGAACAAATCCTTCGTTTTTTAATCAACTCCACCTCCAAGCAATACTGGTGCACTTAGTCTTCACTAAATTCAAGACTTAACAGCTTTAGAATAGGCATTTTACTCGAGTGAGGCCGAATAAAAGCTTGAAGTCAAGTGAATGAAACTCATTGGACCATTCAAGATCATTGGTTCAGACGCAATTCGTTGGTAATTACTAAAACAAAAAAGTCTAACTTGGTCCCCTAAAAAATGTTATTCTTTTACTCCATGAATACATTGAATTTCACGTAGTCACACTACTCTGGTAGGAGGTGATTCCACAGAAGTCACTGCTTAAAAGTTATCAAACTAGATTAACTTTTAATTTTACACTTTAAAATCAGAAAGTTCAAACTTCCAAATAATACATATGCACACTTTTCACTGGACACTAGTTACTAACTAGTCTACACCAAACAAAGAACTGGACACTAAACAGTGTGGTCAGTCATCAGCCCGAATAGCTCAGTAGTAACGTCTCTGACCGACTGCAGCATTAGCTGACGTGGGTTCAATACCCAGAAGAAGGGACATGAGTTCCTTCAATGTTGTGCATATGCCTTACTGATTTGTGAGTGCCAGCTATCATGAAACCGAGGTCAGGTTGGGCTTCCTACCGATTACGTCCAACCATCTACTATCAATATATATATATATATATGTAAATCCTTGTAATACTTAAACTCACAAAGTCAATGTAATCACAGTTTCCATGCTGTGTTTTCGTCAATTAGGTCAACTTGTTTTTCTTTCTTGTGAAACATTTAAAAGTACATTGACATAAGAGTGAAAAAATGTCACACTGGCTCACTGCGTTTTTGTAGTGGTGGAGGAGTGAATAAGCTAACCTGTTTCACAGTGAAGATTTTAGATCGTAGCAAACAATAGCGTATGTTTTAATATTTCCCGTTGACTGACATGATATTGGACTGGAATTCTCCGTCTCTGTTCTGTTGAAATGCCAGCTTTGCGTCAATCGACAGAAAAAGGAAATTATCTTAAGAAAACACATCACAGCTGATACTTGTTACAAAAGTGGTGGCTCCCATGACCTACTGGACTTTTCTGTGGGGTTTTAAATTATGGTTGCAGGGCTCCAGTCTCAGTGAAAGTGCCGTCAACACCTGCTGTGAATGCAAGGACATTCAGATGATGCGTCATAAATTGGACGAAGTGCACATTGCAGATTCCACTAATAGTTGCCACCAATGAAGATAATTTCTACTGGTTTTTCACCAATCTCTTAGTAATAAGTTACACGGTGATTCTCTATGCAGCTATTCATAATTTATACAACTTAATTTGTAGATGCCTAAATTCACAGGATTATGAACTGAAAGGAATGACGTGGATATGGAAACCTTTTAGAGCCTGGCGGATGATGCTTTAGAGACTGAGACGATATGTGCTGAATTCGAGAGCTAGTAGAAACACCACGACTTACTGCGGATGCTAGTACCTCCAGTTGATATGTCTCTTAAATAGGACAAAAGGAGCATCTTGAATTCTACTGCTAGCCCTTGTCAGATAGGCAATATAAACTAACCAATCTGCACAGTAAAAGAAGCTTGAATAGACCAAAATGAATAACGTGGATTCATTTGTTTCTTTACCTAACTATTCAATAAATAATAAATATTTACATGGAGCAATAACAGACGATACATTTTAATGTTCAGATTTTTGGGCTCTTAAGACCATTTTCGACTTCTCCAAGCTTCTTCACCAGTATTTACAAAAACACTCTAACGAATTAGAAAGCTAGTTTTCAAATATTATCTTTGAAGGATCTGTTTGAGTACTGGGCGTCTCGTTCTAGGACAAAATAGATTTACAGTACATCCTGGCTGTCCATGGTCTTTTAACGGATTTCAATCCGTGAATAAACTTTTCACCAATCAAATCCCTACGAAATGACGTCTGAAAGATGGTCTGATGCACACTACTGACTGCCCACAGGACGAAACTTCCTGAAAATCTAGTGAGAAGTCATGACACATGAGGTGAACGAGGTCAGATGTGAGGACAAACACTCACCAATGATACTGATTAGCGATGACTTCATAAGACGATAACTAATAGAAGTTGTGATTCACGGACCAATTGTTCTCGTCCCACTGACTGTAGGTTCAACAATCTCACTATATTACCTGAGGTTCTGAATTCATCAACTAGTGGGTTCATAGGTATTATGATTATTGTTCTTTTGGGTTCCTAGTGGAACATAGGGCTTCAACGGAACGTTTCAACCTGCTTCTGTCCTCTGCTGTCTGTCTGTCTGCATCCATGTTAGTCCATACTGTTTCAACTCCTCTTCACACGATCTCCTCCATGTCACCCTGGGACGTCCAACTAGCCGCTTCTTTTTCAGGTTCCACTCGATGGCCTGACGCGTGGTGTCACCCAGCGGCCTCCTCAGTGAGTGTCCAATCCATCTCCACTTTCTCCTCCATATTTGTTGGGCGATTGGTTCTTGTTTTGTTTGTTCCCATAGCTTCTTGTTGATGATTCTTTCTGGCCATCTGATCTTCAATATAGAGCGAAGACAGTTGTTGATAAAGGTCTGCAACCTGTTGGAAATATTCTTTGTGACCCACCAAGTTTCTGATCCGTATAGAAGAACTAACTGACTTGGCGTTTGTATTGAAAATCCGAATTGTGTTGTTGAGTGTTGCTGAGTGACGACGATTTCCAGATTGGTTTCAGGTTGATGAATGTGTTTCTCGCCTTCCCGAATCTCGATTTGACATCCTCGTCTTCCGTTCCACCTGTAGTTGAGACAATGCTCCCTAGATAAGTGAATGAAGTAACCTCTTTCAAATCCCTCCCGTTGATGGTGATTGGCACTGGATGTTGCTGCTGCTGTTGTTGTTGTTGGTTGGTTATTTTCATAACCATAGGTATCATACTACTAAATTCTGAAACAGCTTTCCAGTAGTTCTTTGTTTTCGACAGTTATCTAACTGATTCATTCCATATTTAAACTTGAAGCTTGTTGTTATTCGGCTGATTCCGTTATTAGGACATTTTCTTCTCCTAAAAACTGTATGATCTCTGCACTATCAAATTCTTTTCTCTATGCCTTGAGTGAGCCTTTAAACTCGGTTGTCATCTAAAACTGAAATGTTGGAGGATGTTATGTTGCCTTTCGAAATCAAGACACCAACCATTTTGCGAATGCCAAATGGTTATTTAACCACTTAATGACTGAGATGAGCAGTTTGTGACCCCTGACCCTCAATATCCACCAGTAGTGCTCACCGGCCAATTAGATTGGAGTGATCTAAACACCAGGTTCTCATTTTGCTGGTTGTGAGCCAAGCTCATCAGAAATGTACCTGGTTTGAAACAGCTTAGAGAGGGAAATCAAGTCAAACCACATAAATTCTGACTGGCTTATCGAGCGGACTAGTAATATGTTTTTAAAACACTATATATATATACCATACGCATTACAGCTGGGGTTACTTAGAGCTATTTCTTAATCGTTGTCATCTCGTGAAGAAATGGAGCTTCTTACTGGTGAAGGGTTCTAAACTAGGGCTAAATAATTGTCCACTATCCACCCTTTAGTTATCAGTGCTTTTTCAGTTGGTTTCGGTTTTTGATAACATCAGTGCTTAAATCTTACATCCCTTATGTATCATTATTGATAATGCCATGAGGAAATCAAATAGATGGTGTCGGTAATCCACTAGCGAAACATGCAACTTTCATTCAAATACATGAGCAGACCTGCCTCAAGTAACTAGGCTGAACAATCATTTCTGTCTTCAGGTTGCCCTATACACAAGGATTATTCCTTGGTCAGTGGTGAACAGCAGTGGAATTCAAGACTCGCGTATCGATCTCTTTGGGACTTGTCATCTTGATGTACTTTTATTCTCACTAAGTGATGGTGTCCCCACGAAGACCTGAACCCAACCCTATTCGAAAATGAGGTGCCATTTAGAAGATTGCAAAATACCTACGATTTTGTGATAAAAGTCTTTAATTTGTCTTAAAGTACGCAGGAAAAAATATTCGCTTGAAATTAAAACCCTTCTATTTAGCAATCAGATAATGCATCTTGTACCTCGGTAATCCATCCAAAACTAATTTTCACTTACTTATTAGGGGGCTTCGAGAAACATCTCAGTTTTCTTCCATTATCTGCCATCTTCTTCAGCCGCCAGGGTCCACTATTGAGCATAATCTGTCATCTTCTCCTCCCCAAACGATCTCCTCCATGTCACCCTCTCAATGACGACCCACTCGTTGCTCCCCATTGGGGTTCTACTCGAGCGATGGCCTGCATTGCTCAAGATGTTATTGAACGGCCTCCTTAGCGTATGCCCGATTCATCTCCATTTTCTCCCACATATTTATTGAGCGATCAGCTCTTCGCTGGTTTCTTGACAGTCATAGTTTCTTGTTCCTAATTCTTCCTGACCGGCTATTTGATCTTCAGTATGGAGCCAGCGAAGTAGGCAGCTGTTGATGAAAGTCTGCAACCTGTTAGAAATCCTTTTTGTGACTGACACGCAGTGCAAGAACTAACTGACTGACTTCACATTGGTGTTGAAAATCCGAATCTTGTTCTTTATGCTGAGCAGTGTAGAAGATTTTCGAATTGCTTTCAGGCTGATGAAGACGTATCTTGCCTTTCCCATTCTGATTTACTTTAACATCTTCATCTGTTCCGCCTGTAGCTGAAACGATGCTTCCTAGACAATTGAAGGAGGTAACCTCTGTTGAATCTCCCCAGTTTCGATTAATATCAGTAAATTACAATTATCTAAATCCGTTCATAGCGTGAACTGTCTATTTCCATTTTTTAGTAGCTGAATGCTCACGAACTTCTCTCGTGGTCAGGATTCGATTACTGGTCGACCCACTAGCAAAGTTCCTCCCCTAGCCAGCAGTGGGCGTCTAAGAGAATGGAATTTGAACGTAAGGATAACAATTCCACCACATAAACAAAACATCAATACTATTGAAACCCTAAGATTTAAAGCCTGAATTCCTTTGTTCCAATGTGAATGCAAAGGAACGAAAATAGTGTATCTTACAGCGGTACCTATCACTGCTTACAGTGTTCTGTGAAGTAATAAATTTAAATGTTTGATTTTATTCTTGTTTCATTTTAATTTTCCATACACAGAAGTGATGCGATTCGCTTATCTGAGGCATTGGATCAATTCGCGGACAGATGGGAATCAATCCTGGTAAGCAAGGGCATTTTTCTAGTATTTATTTAGTCTCTATTTTTGGTAAAAAATATTCGTCATTTTTTGTCGGCATAAACTAATCTTTCACAAAAAATAGACCATATGCTTTGAAAAAAAGTAGTCAAGACTGCATGAAAGAACACAGCCATCATGGATAAAATACCAGAGAATTTGAGGGGTTTTGATTTCATAGATTGGAAAAATTGACAGAAACTAGTTAGAAAAATATTTTATTAATAGGCTGGGAAAAAGAATGGATTATTAGTCAATGACTTCTGGTTATAGGAACTTTAAAAACTTCAGATATTAAAGTCATATATTTACTGGCTTATTTCTTTTCTGGTGATAATCATCGAAGGTATCAGTGGGTCAATAGTAGGATGTTGGCCAACCAATCACAATTTTTTCGCGGTTCCATTTCCGACTAACGAATTCTTCAGCCCCTGGTTGGTTTATTAGCCTGTAATTCCATATTAGATAAGTTTATTTTAATAATCACACAGTGTGAGTGATGTAGTAGCAACAGCTGGATGACAGACAAGGTTTCGAGCAGAAATTATTGCCACTCATAATCATATCAACTTTAGTTACACGGTTTCACAATTTGTCTCGCATATATTTTCTCTCTTTCTGTCTCTCCAACTCCACCTTTGTTGTTTGTTGCCACTTTCCTTGCCTCCGGTATAGGCGTTGCTTTATTCCGACTGCACATTTTTGATGTTGATTTGATGAACAGTGATTAACCGCTTTCTTTCTCCACGTAACTATATTACTTCATATGAACTGTGATCAAGATTTGACCGGATAGCTGCAAAATAATTGAGCGCTGAGTGAGAAGTAGACATTTATAAAATTATATTTGTAAAATCTCAGTGAAATTGAAATGATTAATTCCAACGTTTCTTGTGTTCGGCAATCTGGTCCGAACTTCTTCAGGGAAATTAATCGAAATTAACATAACAGAGGTTTATATATAAAAGGAACAATTCATGTTTTTAAATTTTGTCCAATCATGAGTCATGCAACAGTCATCAACATGTATAATAAATAAATAAATAAAATAGTATGTTTATATATAAAAGTACATCTCTTGTTTTAAATTGTTTGTCCTGACATGTGAATCAAGAAACAGCTATCAATAGGTATAATAAACAAAACAAAACAAAATTTTTATATGAACTGTGCGTCGGTGGCACAGTGGTTAGGACTCTCGCCGACCATGCACATGGTCCGAGGTTCGATCCCCTGCCGGCGCACACCCGATATCTATGGTTGGCCTGTAAAATTTGGGCTACCGATATCCATGCTGAAAATGTCATACTTGTACTGAAAATACGGTGTGGCATCAAGCTGTAACCAAAATAAAAAAAAAAAAAAAATTTGACCTCAGACTTTCAAAATTAGTCTACTTTTAAATGAACTGTCGTCAAGATTTGACCGAATAGTTCTAAAATATTTGGGCGCCGAGTGAGAAGTAGACATTTGTAAAAAATTATATTTGTAATATCTCAGCGATATTGAAATGAGTAATTCCAACGTTTCGTTCGGCAATCTGGTCCGAACTTCTTCAGGGAAATTAATCAAAATTAACATAACAGAGGTTTTATATATAAAAGGCACAGCTTTTTAAAAACTTTGTCCAATCATGACTCATAAACACAAGTATTAACAAGTATAATAAACAAAATTGTATGAGCTGTGATCAAAATTTGACCTCGGACTTACAAATATTGGTCTACCTTTGTTAAAATACTTTAAACAGAGTGTGCATGCGTGTGTGTGTAAACAGTCGTAAAACATTTCTTAACGTCTCCATAGGAAGATATAGACAGTCAGGAATTTGACCAAGTATTATTAATTAGTGATACATATCCATTTTTATTTATTAATCAGGATTTCCTATGCATCAGCTAACATCAAACCTTTATGTCTGTTCAAACTGTTAGTATCTAGAATTTTATGATTAGACGTATTTTCAAAATTATGGTGTTTAGGATTAGAGATTGGTTTAAGCACCCTGTCGAACTTATTGCATTGTCTTCTTTCTGAATATTGAGCTGCTTTATTCGACCTACTGGAGTTGTCAGGTGACTCGACAGCTACGGATTTAGGATGTGCATTTTGTTCCAGACAACGGAGACTGAAAACACGATGACAGTGCCAATTACATAGTTTATTTGTTAATTTAAAATATATGCGTATATGCAGTATACAATAGTGTGTGGGAATGAACAGTCATAAAACATTTGTTATTCTCATATGAGCTGTGATCAAGATTTGACCGGATAGTTACAAAATAATTGAGATGTTTTTTACAAATATAATATAATTTTATAGATTTGATATTCTCTCCATAAGAACACGTAGAAAATCTGCAATTTGATCTAGTGTAACTAGTTGTTGATGCATATCCAATTTATTTATTAGTCAGGATTTGCCATGCATCAGCTAAGATCACACCTTCACGTCTGTTCAAACTGTTGGGATTCACCCATTTATGTAGGGTTTCTGCAGTCAGTCTTTCTTTATATGAACCAAAACCTTTCTATAAAACCTTAGTCTTATCAAAGTCGATTTTGTGTCCCGTTTCTATCGAATGCAGTGCAATCGCTGAGTTGTTTTCTAGCCAAACGAAACGTTGGAATTAATCATTTCAATTTCGCTGAGATTTTACAAATATAATTTTATAAATAACCATATTACTGTTTTATACTCTCATCCTGTCCCACCCAACCTATTTTTTGGTTACATGCAAGTGGATGCAGTGCAGTGCAATGGACGAGCTTTTTTCTAGGTTATTTAACCTAGCAGGGTCAACTATTCTACGTCTAGCTAAATTTCATTAGGATGAGAGTATTAAAAAGTAACAGTTAGGCAGAGAGAGAGAGGTTAATCACTGAAGCTTGGTTTATCGTCGAGTCAAAGCTGCACACATACAATTGGAACAACGAACGCAACACATATACTGCAGACAAGGAAAGTGGCAACAAACAACAAGGTGAAGTTGGAGAGACAGAAAGAGAGAAAATATATACAAGACAAATTGTGGAAACGTGTGTCGAAATTGATATGATTATGAGTAGCAACAATTTATGCTCGAAACCTTGTCATCCAGTTGTTAATACTGCATCACTCACACTTATCTAATATGGAATTACATTCTACCACAGTCCCCAAGTTCTACACTTACATTATTAGCCTGTAGTTAACAGCGAAGAGATTGAAGATTGACACTGAGTCTAATGGAACCTAAACATGAGCACGGCTACTGAAATATCAAAGCCTCGAGGCATATGTTCATCTGTGAACTCAGACAGAGATGAAGAAGAATCATAATCATCACAGGCAGTTTAAAACATCAGTAGTACTGCCTATATGAAGGAAGATAAACCAGAGACCGTACTGGGGATTTTAATTCAGGCTTGGATTAGATTGGCATTTAAACCAATCATTTCACACTCAGAGAACTCAGAACTTTGCCTACTTATTGATCCGAAATACCTAATTAGGTTAAATAATATAATTCACTAAATACCATGTAATGACGTGAAACTGCCAAAGAAGGGCGATTTAGGACTCTGCAAGAACTGGCAAGGAATCATGCTCCTGTCAATGCCAAGTAGAATTCTGAGTCGCATTATCCTGGAGAGAATAAAGGACGCACTGGATGCGGAATTCCGACCAGAACAAGCTGGATTCAGGAAAGGCAAATCATGTTCTGACCAAATTGCAACTCTACGCATCATCATCGAACAAAGCATGGAATGGCAATCAAACCTCTACCTCAACTTTATCGACTGTTAGAAGGCCTTCGACAGCGTTGACTGTGAAGTAATTTGGAAGCTACTCGAGTACTATGGCATACCCCAAATATTCATCAACCTTATTCAACAGCTGTACGACAACGGCATATATCAAGTGATTTACAACGGAAAACTCAGCGAGGCGCTTGGAGTAAACACAGGAGTCAGACAAGGGTGCTTATTATCACCAATGATATTCCTAATTGAGGTGGACTGGATTATGCGTCAGACAGTTGGGAACGAGAAGACAGGGATATCCTGGACCGACATGAAGAACCTAGAAGACTTGGATTTCGCTGATGATTTATGTTTAATGTCACACAAAATCGAAGACTTACAAGCGAAAACCGACAAACTGGTTGGTCGAAGAAGCAGCAAAGACAGGACTCCAGGTGAACATAGACAAGACGGAGGTTATGAAAATGACCAACCAACAACAACAACAACAGCAACATCCAGAGCCAATCACCGCCAACGGGAGGGATTTGAAAGAGGTTACTTCTTTCACTTATCATCTAGGGAGCATTGTCTCAACTACAGGAGGAACGGACGACGAGGATGTCAAATCGAGAATCGGGAAGGCGAGAAACACATTCATCAACCTGAAACTAATCTGGAAATCTTCGTCACTCACCCTGCAGCAACAACAAAATTCGGATTTTCAATACAAACGTCAAGTCAGTTTTGCTTTACGGATCAGAAACTTGGCGGGTCACAAAGAATATTTCCAACAGCCTGTTGCAGACCTTTATCAACAGCTAACTTCGTTCTGTACTCAAGATCAAATGGCCGGAAAGAACAAGAACCAGCAAGAAACTATGGGAAGAAACAAAAACAGAACCAATCGCCCCACAAATATGCAGGGGAAAGTGGAGATGGGTTGGACACTCGCTGAGGAGGCTGCTGGGTGACATCACGCGTCAGACCAATGCTCGAGTGGAACCCGAAAGGGAAGCGGCGAGTGGTTCGTCGGTGCAAGGGTGACATGAAGGAGATCATGTGAAGAGGAACTGAAACAGTATGGACCAACATGGATGCAGGTGAAAAGTACAGCAGGAGACAGAAAAAAGTGGAGACGTCCAGTTGAAGCCCTATGTTCCACTAGGAACCCAAGGGAATCATAATAATAATAATAAATGTAATGACGTTATGGCTATTTGAAAATAGGTTCATATCAGTTAGGTCGTCAGAACATTTAAATTTAGCTAGACGTAGAAGCAGCAGTGTGGTCAGTTGTCTCACATCCAACTCTCCCTCTTTTTCTCGGCGTTGTTAGCAGCTGGTAAACTAGTCAAGATCAAATCTAGAATGGCTCACCTCTCAATGCATTCACTCTAGTGTAATCAGGAATTAGGGTGCGATGAGGTTAAAGCATCGAAAATCAATAGACATTTCAGCGGGGAAACTACTATTTATTGATTAAATCGTCTTCAGAGGCTGTAAAACAGTATTTGTATTTAATGAAAACGTAAATTAGCCTATTAGTGTGTGACAGGAGAGGGGTTGACATAATTAATAAAAGCACTCGGGAATGGTTTCTAAGAGAAACTTAAAAATTCGTAATGGTGAACGACATGATGATTAGAATGGTTATTGGATAAGAATTTAAGTGATCGTCTATTTGACAAGTGTTAGGAGGCTGAAAAATTGTTAATAAGGAACATGTGAGAGTGATAATAATGAACTATACAATCGTATATATATGGTTTTTAAGAAGTTATATCCGGTGAGGGAATTGAAACATAGGTGTGAATGCATGAAATAATAATAATATGAAGTGCAATTAAAACTAAAATGTTTGTGATTATAACCGTAGTTAAATGTCAAGTGGCAAAGCAAATTAATGTCATATATAGAATAATTCATAGGATGGATAGAACTTGAAAAAGGGTGTGCAATTATAAGATTAGTAGACAAATCGAAAAAATAAAAACGTTACGTAATATTGTGTGAAATTTAATAGCATAGAATTTAATGTTGCATAAAGGAATTGATTTAGAATGACAAGTGGAACAAGTGAAATAATACCGGGGACAATTAAAAGTGAGAGTAGTAATAGTAACAATTGACTTAATAAGGAAGAGTATACAAATTGAATAGACAAAAATGAAAAAATGAAAAAATGGAGAGTTGGTAGAGCTAAAGTATGATTGGGGATTACCATACTTTAGCATAGAGGGATTAAGACCATGAAAGTTGGAGGGGTTGAACGAACTTCTTCTGTACACAGAGATCTGGCTTTTCTGTTTCGATAGCCAAAGCTTCAGCAATACAGATGAGTCGGGTACGTAGGGATTTGGGTAAATTACTCTTTGCCTTGTAGATGACTTTGAAGGCGGAGGCTATAGAGATAGGGTGATCATTATCGACCAGATGTTCAATGATCGCGCTTCTTATTGCTCCACTACCACCTTTTCGTAACCATGCAGGATAGTGTTCTTGCACCCTCTTCGACAAAACTCGTGTCGAACGACCGCTATACCTAGCTCCACAAGAGCAGGTGAATTGATAAACACACATAGAGTTGGTCAACAGTGGGATCTTGTCCTTCAGGTTATTGAACAATAATGGTCGACTAGAAAAGGCTATTCTCAGGGATGCAGGAAGGAATGTTCTTTTCAGGGATTGTGATATCCTCCGTTTCATGATATCAGAAGCTAAGTCCCCTTTGAATTCCAAGCTCATGTAAAGTGTCTTGTCTATTCAATTTGTATACTCTTCCTTATTAAGTCAATTGTTACTATTACTACTCTCACTTTTAATTGTCCCCGGTATTATTTCACTTGTTCCACTTGTCATTCTAAATCAATTCCTTTATGCAACATTAAATTCTATGCTATTAAATTTCACACAATATTACGTAACGTTTTTATTTTTTCGATTTGTCTACTAATCTTATAATTGCACACCCTTTTTCAAGTTCTATCCATCCTATGAATTATTCTATATATGACATTAATTTGCTTTGCCACTTGACATTTAACTACGGTTATAATCACAAACATTTTAGTTTTAATTGCACTTCATATTATTATTATTTCATGCATTCACACCTATGTTTCAATTCCCTCACCGGATATAACTTCTTAAAAACCATATATATACGATTGTACAGGTTGATGATAAATTCGTTGAAAAGAGTCTCTTCGCTGAATCATTTGTTTTGATTTTCTATATGTTACAATGGGAATTTTCCATGATTTAAAAAATAATGAACTAATCACTAGAAATAAAAGTGAACGATTACTGAAAACATTTAAAACCCTGGCAGAATAAGAGACCGAACAAAAATTTTCTCTGTACCCAGAGTTTGGGGTTATATTGACGAATCTTCACTGCCTTTGCCATACAAAATTGCCGAAACTTAACTCCCTTATACAACTCCGTCTTACCTTGTAAGTAATCCTGAAAGATAACTATGTTGGTATGTGCGTAAAAATTGGGCACTGTGGTTGTACCACTGATGATTTATATTCCCTATTGTTTCAGTAGTAGTAGTAGTACTACCATACAAAAAGGAACCTCAGAAATCTTACGTGGAATTCTTAGCAATGCAGGAATAAAAGTGGCTTGCATTCAAAGCCACAAACTCAGTTAGAAATAAACTTTATTGGTTTAAGGATCCTGTGGAGCCTTTAAAACAAAACAATTTAGTTTATCTAATACCTCGCCTACAATGATTGTCAGGTCAAATACATTGGTCAGAGTAGTAGAACAGAGCCAGTCAGACTAGGGGAGCATAGAAACTTGACAAAATCTAGATTAGGTGATCCTAATAAGATAAGAAATCTAGAGAATAGTTCAGCTCTATCACTCACTACATGCAATTACACAAAACCATAAAACAGGATGGGATAAGATGAGAGCGATAAAATCTAATGTCACAGGGTGGAGGGAGAGGGTGATAACAGAAGCTTTGTTTACCGAATCAACTGCAAATACGTGTAATAGGAATGATTCAACACCTGTCCACCCAGATATCTGGAAAATTCTACTACCCTAACGACGATAAATAGGAGAGAACAAAGAAAAATATAAAACTCAAGTTTCGAAATCGTGTGATTATAATTGATATGATTATGGTTCGAAACGTCATCCAGTAAATAATACTGTTTCACTGTGTGATATATCTAATAAACAATCTAGCATAGAATGACTGTAGTGGAATTGCTTGGACTGAGTCCACCAAGTAATTGTCCCATATTGTCCCTTTTGACAACCGTGCCGTGTAATGTTAGGAAATGAGGCTGAAAGGTGTGTTGATTCGCCTTTCATTTTCTTGATGACCCAGTTGGTATTTTTAGCCTAACAAACATCAATAGAGTTGTGTGGAGAGACAGATTAATCGCCGAATCTTTCTTCTTCAAATCTACACTAAACACATACAGTCGAAATGACGCAACACCCATCCCGGATGTATGGAGAATTGCTGTAAAAAAAACAGCAAGCGGCAGAACCATAAAAAGTAGCTCAGGAAATCGTTCAAGAAATAAACTGTGCTTGTGTTACCATCCACTTTCTAGGACTGTGTTAGGTAAAGGAAGTTGGCAAATTGTATCCGTAACTTCAAGAGAAGGATTGGATCTGGGGCCGAGTCAGACAGGTCGAGATCAGATACGTGTCAGTCCATTTGGAGGCTGATTTCTTGCTGCTTTGTGTGCTTCGGTGCGCATTGTTGTGGAGCTACTGGACTCTGACCGTGACCGATCGAGGGCGGTTTCAGCTGATAGTGTTGTATGGCTGTCAACGCGCGTGAGCTAGTTCTGCGTTGCGTCAAGCTGCAGTGCTTCCATTGTTTGGTGCTAGACGGCTAACTCAGAACTGGCACTAACCAGGGGAATACGAATGTCCAATTAAAACAAGGAATTGCGATGTCCACTGATTGGTTATGACGCAATGTGATTTTCGCCCAGTGCTGTGAATGCCGAAGTGAAGAAATTCAAAGAAGCACAGGTGGGTGACGGGAGTTACTATGAACCTCACTCAAATGTGTCTTATAGCACATAAATTTATGCAATATAGAATTAGATTGTATCACACATTGGCTACATTATATTTACTCACTGCAAAGATTAATCTTTTCTCTCCTTCCTTAATTTAGATGAATGTGATCAAGAATTATCGTAAAGAGATAAATGTATTACGTGAACAAATCCTTCAGTCGAACAGAACAAACACAAATTAATAAAGAAAAAAACATGTTTCTATTCATATTATTATTATTATATTATTCATACATAAATTCACCTCTTAAACCAATGAGCCTGCTATGCCTTGTCTCTCGCATTATGTACATTCTACTCTCCCTCTCTCTCTTTTTATATATAAATATTCATTCAACATGTTTGATTCCCTTGCCCTTGTGTACATAAATTCATTGAATGTTACTTCATTGCAAAATGTCTTTCCATTTTTCACCAGTATTCATACATATATCAACAACACACATATAGACATACACATGCTTAGATGCACGCCTCAGACATTTGATAAATTGAATTGTATATTATTAGGAGAAAAATGCTGAAAAATACAAATTCCCAACCGATGCAGAATGTTTTTTTGTTTGTCTTATTATGGACTTTGGTTTTGATTGGTTGGAGGATTTCATCATGAGCTGATATTAGTTAGAGAACTATCGGAAAAACAACTGGAATTGCTGAATAGCTGTTTTGTCAGCCTAGTTTCAGATTCTTCGTCAGTACTCACCCACCTCTCTGGGGTTTGAACCGAGGACCTTCTGGTTACAAGGCTAGCGAGCTCGTAGACCATTCAGCAGCCATTGGGACACGATCCAATGACCAGCCACTCCATGAATTCTAACTTCTGCCAATTCATGAGAGAGTGTGACCACTTCGCATTATCTTCTTCTTCGATGAGTAATTGTCCTCACATTCAACCTGCTGCACCTTCCTGGTCACAGCTTCCTACTAGAACCCCGGGTTAACTTCCTGAATAGAGTCAGTCGCTAGTGAGCATCAGATTAATTTTCAACCAATCAAAAAACTCCCTAAAATCCAATAAATGATTTTAGTTTTCTAAATTTCTCTCACTTGTATTAATTTATGGTCTAACACATCAATGACCAAATGCCTAGAAACCAACAGTTGAAAGAACAAGAGGTCTGACAAAGATGTCTTTTTCGGCGATTTTATCCTCTCATCTGAATGGAACATATGGCTTCACCATCTGCTTCCTCAATTGACCATAATTTGACATTCTCAATGTCACCGATGAACATCCAACTTGTCATCTTCAACTGGGATTCCACTCAAGGACCTGGCTCATGATGCTGCATGACAATAACTCAGTGGGTAAGCCTATCCATCTCCATTTCCTTTATTTGCGTATTTGCTGGTCCCCAGTTTCTTGGTTAGTTCACCGCAGTGACAGATTTCCTTGTTGCATTTCCAAATTTATCAAGACACTGAAGACGGCTGTTTATGCAAGTGTACAGCAGCCTGTTGGAAATGCTCTTGTGACTCACCCGCCAATCCTGCTTAAAATTTGGGCTACTAAAAAACTTCCATGTCTCTATTGCGTATATTTTCTCCCATTCGGTTTGTTTTGATTGATTAATATATGACTTCTATTGGTATTATCTACACTCGTGTGTATTTAAAATATATACAAGCTCCAGACTTGCAAGTTCCTACTAAACTTAAGGAATGGATTAATTCTTGTTGGCAGAATGTTACAATATATGAGACAGATGTTCTTCACTCATGTCCTTTGGTCTCAAAATGTACTTCTAAGCATCTTACAAATGGCTTGCAACAAGATATCGTGGATTTCTTAAAGGAGACAAAGCAGATATATCACAAAATGGAATGGTTTGTGCTTCAGCTTAGAGACCATTGTGTCACAGGAAGGATATACTGTTGTCAATTAATATTTTACTTGAAGATAATGTACGAAGAGAAAATATCATGCAATAAACTCCTCTGAAAATTCTGTACATTTTATAAATAGTGCCCAGAATAAAGATGCTATTATTATCATAACGACAGAAGACAAGGAACAGACAACAGATCGTTTATTGCGAGAATCAACAGATATTTATAAGTTTTATGTACACTATTACTACCGTTATTGTTAGTAGAGAAGCAACCTCTTCTGAAGGTTATTCTGTCATCTGTTTGTGGCCGTTTCTTAGGCAGTCAGACCGTACATTTGCGAATCGTATTTGCACACATTAGGTCTGCTGTGATTGGTTGGTGAGTTTCTCAAGGTTAAGCTTTGTTATTGTTTTTTCTCATGATCACGATTTGGGACGTAAACACTGACGTCAGTTGCTGTCTGCCATTTCGGCTAGCAGACAGCTCTCACCACATTATTATTGCAGATATGCAGTGACTGTCTTGACACCAGTGCGATTCGCTCCCGCCAAATGTAAGATTATGTTACAGGATTGGACTACACTGACTCCTAGTTTAGAAATATGGAGTGAAGTGGTAGAACACGTTGACAGCTTCACTATTTGAGAATTTGCATCAGCCCTAACGGGTTGATCTCTGACGAAATCTCAGCACGAATAGAGAGGGCTACTTTCGCATATGCCAGTTTACGCCGTCTCTGTCGTAGACGTGATAACCGGCTGGCTATTGAGCAAAGGGCATGTGTACTGCTCAGCAGTCCGCTCCGTCCTCCTTTATGAATGTGAGACCTGGCCATTGAGAGTGGAAGACTTGAAAAGATTAGCTGTCTTTGATCATAGGTGCCTGCGTTCTATCTCCTGTGTGAAGTGGTATAATAAGGTGAGCAATATTGAGGTTAGGCACTGGTCGAGTGATAGGTAAGGAGGGGAAATCAACCAACGAAACTGTGAATTTACATCGCCTGAGATGGTTAGGATATGTGTTACGTATGCCTAGTCATCGCCTTCCTCGATGGGCAGTGTTAGCTTACATAGAGTCAAGCTAGAAAAGAGCTAGCGGCGGTCAAATCAAAACATGACACCAGTCAATGAAATCCACAACAGTTAGTTTTAGCCAGTCAAGTGGGAAAATGTAGATTGACTTCCTGGTTAGGGTCCTCGGGACGGTAAAAACTAATGACTGGAAACAATTGGTGATATGGCTCAAAATCGTTCTCAATGGCTAGCGCAGATGCATCCACTCCTTGAGACTTATGATTTCCAATGAAACTATATCATCATCATCATCATCAGTCCCTTGACTTTCGTCGTGGGGGTGCTATGACAGTTCGCGCTATCAGTCTTCGCCATTCTTCTCGGTTTAATGTTATTTTCTGTAGCGTATCCAAGGGCATTTCAGTCCACTCTTTTATGTTGTCAAGCCAGCTCTTATTCGGCCGACCTCTCTTTCGTGCTCCTCCTACTGTGCCTTGTAGAATCGTTTTGGACAATGTGTCATGTCTTACCGTGTGGCCGAACCATTGTAGTTTCCGTTTCTTTACGATTGGAAGGAGTGGTTCCTGTTTTCCTGCCAGTCTATGGACCTGGTGTAAGACATATTCATTAGTTTTCCTTTCAAGGTAACTTATTCCTAGGATCCTTCTATAGCTTTTGTTTTCGAAGGCTTGTATTCTTCTTTCTGTCTCTGCATTCAGGGTCCAGCTCTCACATCCATATAGGAATACAGAGAGGACCAGTGACGAGTAGAGTTTCATTTTTGCTGAGACGCTGATGTTGCTCTTCCATATTTTCCCTAACTTGGACATGGTGGCAGAGGCTAGGTTTAGTCGAATTTTTATTTCCTTAGTGGACCTTCCATCTTTTGTTAGGGTAGACCCAAGGTATTTGAAAGTTTCAACCTCTTCTAATACATGTCCATCAAGTCTGATACATCTATCTGAGTTGTTTCCTCCGTTAATGAGTATTTTGCTTTTTTCTGTGCTGATTTCCATGCCCACAGATTTGGTTGCAACATCAAGTCTTGAGGTGAGGTCCTGAACTTGATCAATGTTTTCCCCAATGAGGGCTATATCATCAGCAAATCTGAGGTTGGAAATTGGTCTTCCGTTTATGCTAAGTGTCGGTGTAAAGTCATGTAAGGTTTGTGTCATAATATGTTCGAGGAATAAATTAAAGAGGACTGGTGAGAGAATGCACCCTTGGCGTACTCCTATAGTTGTTCTGAAGAACTCGCCAGTTTGATTATTTAGAGATACTGCACTACTAGATTTGTTATATAAAGACTTGATAACCTCAATTATGTTTTTATCTATATTGTAGTTATTCATGACTTGCCATAAGCCTTCGTGCCACACACGGTCAAAGGCCTTCTTAAAATCGATAAAGTCGTGTACTAGCATTTTTTGGTGTTGTAGACATTTTTCGTTTAGTACCCTTATGTTAAAAATTTGTTCAGCAGTGCTTCTGCCCGGCCTGAATCCGGCCTGTTCTTCTGAGAGTATTTCCTCTACTTTCTTTTTGAGTCTGTTCAATATTACTTTCAGCATGACTTTACTTGGGTGGCTGATTAAACTTATTGTTCTGTAGTTCTCGCACTGCTTTGCGTCCCCTTTCTTAAATATTGGAATGATTAGTGACTGAGTCCATTCTTTAGGCCATTCTTTTTCTTGCCAGATTTTTTGACAGGCTATATTTTTCTTCGTTATTACTATTCCTTTGTCTCACATCTCAACTTACTATCTTTATTATGCATTTCTTCTACTTTCTTCTCTTGCTTTGTGTGCTACATGGAGTGTGGCAACTCGAAATGCCGCACATTGATGCAAAGTTCTATGTCGAAAACAGACAGACAGTGCTGAATGAAACAGATGTCTACATTGATTTTAAAATTATGAATACCTATCGTACTTTTCGAATCCTAAATTTCACTTCTTAATCGGCGCTGCCTTTAGCTGAGGTGATACTGCCTAAATCAGTGAATGAGGTGACTACCTTCGAATTCCTCCCGTCGATAGAGATTGTTGCTTGTTGTGCTTGGTTAGGTGTCTTCATCACCTCTATTTTGTCAAATCGTCAACTGAATACACAGCTTTTCTACATCTTCTGTCCACTTTTTGTTTTTGGCGTGCAGATCTTCAAGTTTGTGTGACTTTAAACCTGTATCGTCAATGAACTTCAGGTCTTCTAGAGTTATCTTGTAGGCTTAACATAGTTTCCATCCTCTAAAGCTGTACAGTTGCATTTTTATACATAATTTAGCATACTTGTAATTATTACTTAATTCAATATAGTAACAAAGGCAGAATAAA